AAGATATGTTTATTTTTTATTTTGTTTTGTATTTTTGAGACAGAGTCTCACTATATAGCTCTGACTGTCCTAGAACTCACTATGTACACCAGGCTGGTCTTGAACTCAAGAGATTCACCTGCCTCTGCCTCCTAAGCGCTAGGATTAAAGGCGTGCTCCACTATGCCTGGCTTGTTTCTTTTTTATTGTTTGAGAATTTCACAATACATATATGTAATGAATTTTGATCAAATCCACCTCCATTTTCCCTCCCCTACACTTTCCCCATTATCAGCCACACTACTGTTTTTCTCTCCCAACTTCTTGTTCTCTTTTCTTGCTCTTTTTTTTTTTTTTAACTCACTGAGTCACCTTAGTGCTGCCTGTATGTGTGTGAGCGTGGGACCATCTGTTGGAGTGTAGCTGGCTACCTGAAGAAAAAGGACTTTCTCTTCTCCATCAGCCATCAGGTGCCAATACTCTACCACAGCTAGGGGCAGAACTTCATGAGGCCTTCCCAAACCCATGCTGCAGGTCTTATGCAAGCGGTCACAGCTGCTTGTGTTTGTGTGCAGTCATTATACAGCAAATGTTTTTTTATTATAGTAAATGTCCACTAGCTCTAGCTCTTAAAATCTTTCCACTCCCTCTTCCAAAATGATCCCCAAACCGTTGGGAGAGGGATATAATATGGATGTGAGTACTCTACAGTCTTTTATTTTTCACACTTTAACAAATGTGGATTTCTGTATTGATCACCATCTACTGCAAAAACAAGCTTGTCTGATGAGGGCTGAGAGGGCTAAATAATAATACTGGGTTCTCCGCTAGGACCTGTGGCCTAGCTAGCAACAGACTCGGGGCCCTGTTAACAGTTCCAGGCATGGGTTCCATCTTTCAGTGCAGGCTTTAAGTCCAGTCAGAAAATGGTCTGCTCATTCTCGTAATATTCATATTGCATCAGCAAGCATATCTTACCAAGCCAGTCTTATTGTAACTTGCAGGGTTCATCCCTAGAAAGACTTTTGTTTTTATTTTTATTCCCTTGTAGCATGCACAGCACTTTCTAACATGAAAGCAGGTCGATAGAAATGAAGCCTCCAGATCAGTAATAGCTTGATTTCTCCCTGCTCTATGGTGTTTTCAGCAACAGAATACTGCCATCAAATTCTATAGGGTAACCAAGAGCAACAGCAATAGCCTACAATGCTTTCTGGAGCGTCTATGGGACCCCATTGACCAACAACTAAAAAATAAGTAACCCATACCTAGCACTGGGCTTTTCATTCAATGGCCTTTGGTGGCTGGGGGAGACACTGTCTTCTCACTGTAGCCTAACTCCTCTAAGTTTCTTGTGTGTATGACTATGTGTATGTTTTAGGAAGGTTTTCAGTAGTGCACTTCCCTATGGCATTTTCTAAGGGAATTAGTGTTAGTCATCCCTCTCCATGCTCCTCTTCTGCCTGCCCCTCTGTCTCCATCCCCTCAACCCTTGCTCTTCTACCTGTGTTCTATGAGGTCATTATAGACTGTTGATCCAATATGCTAAGCTTCATGTTTTATTTGGAGAATTATGATTATTATTTTTAGGAGGGGGTAGCAATTCCTGTAATATTGCTGACTTTTTTTCTAAATTTGACTATTGTTTGTTTTTTTGGTTCCCTATGTGTATTGGGGGGTTGCTGGCTTCCTCAGTGTTGCATGGTTAACTTCCTCTTAGTTCTCCTTTGTTAATCTATTTCTCTCATTAAATTTAATCTTTACTCATGATTACAGCAATCCTTCTTCCTCCTCTGAGCATCATGTTTCTTTTGATTATTTTCTGCAGACCTGACTTGGTGATAAATGGCTTAATTTTTTGCTTGTCCTGAAATATCTTCATTCCATATTGATATTATAAGACAACTTGCTAGAATTAGTAATTTTGGTTAATGATTAATATCAGAGCTTGAAATTTTCCTGGCTTTTAGGGTTTCTGCTGAGATGTCTGATATTGTTTATTTGGATGCTTTTTGCCTTTTCAATTGAGTTGGCTTTTTTCTTACAGTTTTTAATAGTTTACTGAATAGTTTTAGCATCTTGACTATAATGTGTTGTGGAGAGACTCTTCCTTGGTGATGCATATCTAGTGTTCCAAGTCACTCTTGATCGTGAATGTTCATTTCTTTCCCCAGATCTGAGGAAATTTTAGATATCACTTCATTGACTAGCTTTTCTGTGACTTAAGCTTTTATCTTGGCTCCTTAACCACATCCGTTCTTGGTTTGGCCCCTTAATCATGTGCCACAGTTTTCAGATGCAATAGACATTTCAGATGCAATAGACATTTCAGATGCAATAGACATACTGCTTTTTCTTTTCTTCTTTCCTTCTTTCTTTCCTTCTTTCCTTCCTTCCTTCCTTCCTTCCTTCCTTCCTCTCTCTCTCTCTCTCTCTCTCTCTCTCTCTTTCCATCCCTCCCTCCCCCTCTCTTTCTTCCTTCCTTCCTTTCTTCCTTCCTTCCTTTCTTCCTTCCTTCCTTCCTTCCTTTCTTCCTTCCTTCCTTCCTCCCTCCCTCCCTCCCTCCCTCCCTCCCTCCCTCCCTCCCTCCCTCCCTCTCTCTCTCTCTCTCTCTCTCTCTCTCTTTCTTTCTTTCTTTCTTTCTTTCTTTCTTTCTTTCTTTCTTTCTTTCTTGCTATTGGAGTATTGCATTGCCTCAGCCTTGCCTTCCACCTCTGATATTCTTTCTCCTCTTGGTCTAGTCTACTGGTGATGCTTTCCACTATGTTATTTGGTTGATGAGTTTTTCATTTCTAGCATTTGTTTGACTTTTTTTTTTCGTGATCTCAGTTTCCTTCCTGTGTTTCTCATCCATGTTGTGGATCTCTCTTCTGTACTGCTAACATTCTTACATCTTGAATTGATTTTCTTTACTCTTCTGCTTGCTTGTTTTCTTGAAGTCATTTATTACTTTTAGAAGTATTTTTGACTTTTTTAAATTGGCCTTTCTATATTTCAGAACCTTTAGGTTTAGTAATTGAGAGTTTGTGATCTCCTAGAGCTGTCCTGTCACCATGCTTGCTCATATTTCTTCCGTTCCTATGTTGCAATTTGCCTATCTGTTTGGATAGCTCTGGGTTTATTTGGTGATAATTTTAGTGAATAATCCCCAATATGACTAATAGAGAAGAAACCAAACCACCTTGGGTTGAGGTTTCTGCTTCTGCTTTTCCTACTTAGGATAGGGTGGTTTGCTATTCCTCATCCCCACCTCCAGCCCCACCCCGCATTGCCCATCTGTTTCTCCTCACTTTCAGCTGACTTAGCCTCCCTCTGTGATTTCTAGTGCTCTTCTAATTATTCTATCTTCGAGACAGAGATTATCTCTTCTTTTTTTCCTTGACTGTTCTCATCCATTGCACAATCCAGAGGCTGCTGCTTCTCCATCATCTTCAGGTACCAACCATCCTATAGAGAGCAGTTTGTTGGCCTCCAAAAAACCAGAAGCGTTTAAATGGAATAGAATCTGTGCTTTCATCTTGGCTTTAAAAAAAAATCTAACAACATTGGGACATCCTTATCATAACAGTGACCTCATTAGGGGATGTGCTCTAATTTGTTATTGAAGCCAGCATGCACTTGGCTTTCTTCTTTTACCTACTTTCACCCTTTGGAAACCTTGTTTCTAAGAACTTTATTGAAATCCAGGCATATAATTTTAGTTTGTTACTTCAAAGAGAATTTTTGTCAGCCTAACTAGAATAAAACCAGTTTTTTAAACCTTATGAAATAAAGCTATAAAGAAAACACTTTAACTCATAAACTTAATCAGTAATCACTTATTTATATAGTTTATACATGTGCTCTTTCCATTCCAGTAAGACTACATTTGTATCTGTTTTTTTCTATAAAATCATGATACATGAATTGCTGATCTTTGTTTAACACATTAACCATAAAAATAAACATATCTGTGTCATCAAGATAACTCAATTTCCAAGCCAGATGACCTGAGATTGATTCCTGGGACCCACATGGTAAAAAGAGAGAAATGACTCCCATGGGTTGTCCTTTGTACACACACACACACACACACACACACACACACACACACACAGGCGCGCTTACACACTGTGGCACATGTGCACCCACACACAAGTACGCATACACATACACACATTTCTAAGACATTAAAATGGCCATTATTATGTTTTTCATAAAATATACTATATATTATTTCAATAACTAAAATATTATATTTCACGTTCTCTTCTTTTATTAACCTAATAAAAATTGCATAAAAATAATGCCATTGTTAACTCTATCATTGATTTGCTGATCTCATATGAAACTATTCTCCAGCCCCTTTGAGTATGATGTTTTTCAGACATGGACAGATTTAGTTTTGTTTTAATAGTGTGTATTCCATTCCTGATTGATTGACACAGCAGAGTTTTGGGGATTTAACAGAGTATATACCAGAATTCTTATTTGTTCTAAAAGTTATTGTTCATATCTCCTAAAATTGTGTTTCCTTAGCTCATTTTTAAAACACTTCCCTTTTATACTTTAACAAGAACTGTTCGGTGACTTCCACTATGATTCATTTGACCCAAGATCAATTGTAATATGTAGTAGGTGCTTTTGAAAGGCTTCAAGCACAAGGCTGCTCAGCAGGTACCCCTTTCCATTCCGTTATGGATGCAATAACAATAAACACAAAGTTTTTAAAAAGATAGAAGTCTATACACTGAAGTGTACACTCTGGGATGGTGTATACATGAATTGTCAATTGATAAGAATAACATTGAAGCCAGGTGTGATGACCCATGCCTTTGATCCCAGCACTCAGGAGGCAGGTAGATCTATAAGTTCAAGGCCAGCTTGGTCTACAAAACAAGTTCCAGGACAGCCAGGGTTGTTACACAGAGAAACCCTGTCTTGAAAAACCAAAAATAAATAAATAAAATAAACAAAAACATTGAATCCCTCTTTCTTAGGAGAACCACTCTACTTTTTTCACTTATGTTTTATTTGTCTAGGTGGGGTAAAACCTTGCGCTTTAAACTGCCTGGCTGAAGGTTACAATTTCTACACTGAGCGGGCCCCTGCAGTCATAGATGGAACCCAGTGCAATGCTGACTCCCTGGATATCTGTATCAATGGAGAATGCAAGGTGCCTCAGATTTGACTTCTCTTGGCTGGGGTCTTTAAGAACTTTGTCTTATTCTCAGATAGTAACTTGTGTTGATTTCTATGTTCAATTTTTTAAAACTACATTTTAGATAAATTCAATGACAGTGAAGAGCAACAGTACAGTGTGCATGCACACACACACACACACACACACACACACACACACACACACACACACAAACACAAACACACCAGAATGACCCATTCATATTACAAAACCATGCAAAAGGTGATTTCTTCTGGAATTTTAATGATATTTATAATAATTGCCAAGGGTATACATTTTTTTGTCTTTCATTTACATTATCCTCCTGTTTGGCTTATATGTAAAATAATAGAAAAAGAGAGGGAATAGGAATTCAACTCTTCTTCATGTGGCTACCATATGTTCTTACTGGAAGACTTTATATATTTCATAGTGTAATTTTTTTCTCAAAGTGTGAAATAGCTATGTTCCACCTACTTTATCTCCGTTTGAGGCGTTATGATGGTTTTCGTTACACAGTCAGTCTTATTAAAGCATTTACTTTAGCATCAACCAGATGACTTGGAAAGGAGAGGATCACATTCATGGATCTTATCGTAATAAGAAAAGCCACAAAACCACTGTTCTCATAACTTGTTTTGCTTGTTTTACTCTGAAGAGAAGCACATTGTTAAGTGATGCAAACTGAGAAAGAGGAGATAAAACCAGTGTTTTGCTTAGCTTCAAAATCTCCAAGTTCCTTTCGATAACCTGCCTCTAGATCCGATGATCCAGTTAATGCGCGCGCGTGTGTGTGTGTGTGTGTGTGTGTGTGTGTGTGTGTGTGTCTGTGTGCGTGCTTTGTGTTTGTGTAAGTGTGTATGTGTGCATGTAAAGAGAAAAAGAGAGATTTGTGTATACTTGTGTGTATTTGTATAGGTATCTTATCTTCTTAAAGTAAAACACATTTTATAACAGTTTTTTAGATAATAAGATATAATTACAGTTTTATTTAAAAATTGTATTTTGTATCTATGGCTAAATTACAGCTATACAAATTCAGGTACCAAAATATATGCCATATATGTTAAAAGTCCTTATTTTTGTAATTAAACACAAAATTAAAAGGTGAAATTTTAGCTTCTTAAATTGCATGCTTACATCTCCTTTGTGTTTATGCCAATTTGATTCCCAAACAAGAAACATGTATTCATTTTTTAAAAATTTACTCAGGTATTAACTTCATAATTAGCATCTAGCACTAACAATTACCTGAACGAAGCCATGGTTTAGGAAGGACAGACAGTAGGGTTCAGTGGGACCCTCTATTATATCTCTGCAGAGGATGAGCTCATGGGACCCTCTCTCTTATATCCCTGCAGAGGATGAGCTCATGGGACCCTCTATTATAACCCTGCAGGGGATGAGCTCATGGGACCCTCTATTATAACCCTGCAGGGGATGAACTCAGTGGGACCCTTTATTACATCCCTGCAGAGGATGAGCTCATGGGACCCTCTATTATATCCCTGCAGAGGATGAGCTCAGGGGGCCCCTCTGTTGTAGTCCTATAGAGGACCATGAATCATCTTTCCTAGTTCTTTAATTTCTAGACTAGAGGTGAAAGAAAGAGTCCATTACTAATAAATTATAATATTTTAAAGGATTAGAACAAGTATCTATCAATCAAAGAGAAATCGAGGTTAGAAATAGTCATGTATCTAGGAAATCAATTTTCTTTTTTGTTTAGGCATTTAGAAATATTAGCTGTACTTACTAGAGAATGACATTAAATGGGAAAATATTTCTTATTTTGATTTCCTTTACTGGAAATACAAGTAAATAACTAAGTTCTATGTATTTGATTAGCTATGGTTCCAAGAACCTCCCTTTTTGACCCACTGAATATTCTCTGTTTTCAGCATGTAGGTTGTGATAATATTTTGGGATCTGATGCTAGGGAAGATAGGTGCCGAGTCTGTGGTGGGGACGGAAGTACCTGTGATGCCATTGAAGGCTTCTTCAATGACTCATTGCCCAGAGGAGGTGAGTATGGAGAGAACTCTTCCTCTGGTGACCTGCAGTAGTAAAGACTCTTGCTTTGCCTTTCCTACCTACTGAAAACTTCCTTGATGTAGGCCAGCAGTGTCTTTTCCCCAGACGGTGGTTCTTTCAGTCTCTTACATGTTAAATGTGGTTTCATGAAGATATTTTAAAGAATGTTAATTTACTTCAGTTAGCCTTTCTGTGAGGAGGGTTTGTTGAGGACTGAAAATAAGCTTTTGACCATGCTAGGCAAACTACACCTCCAGCCCTACATTTTTCTTTAACATAGGATCTCACTTAAATTACCCTATCTGGCTTTGAATTCCCAGGCATTAGTGATCCTTTTCTCTCAGCCTCATTGGGTAGCTATGACTGTAGGTGACACTACCACTTCCAACTTGCCATGTTTCTTTAAACTGTGATAACCCACAGAGCACTGGTGTGAGGAGAGCATGTTGAGAAAAGAAAGGTGGAACAATACTACACATGTTAAGGTTGTAAAATACCTTGAGATGATTGTAGGAAAAAACAAGTAGGCAGATGCAGGCAGATGTCTATGAGTTCATGGCCAGCCTGGTCTAACATAGTGAGTTCCAGGCCAGCCAAGGACTACATGGTCATAGTCTATCTCAAGCGCCCTCCCATCCCCCAATCAAACATTTTTTCGCTTCATAGACCCACTGGAAATTTGTTCTTATTTTTCAATTATGAAGTACAAAGTCAAAGAAGAAATGAAGGAATAAACCCCATTGCGAATATTAGGTGACTGCTAAGCACTCATTTTTAGTTGGCTGCTTATTGCGGGCAATCTTCTGTATTCCAGGTTATATGGAAGTGGTGCAGATACCAAGAGGTTCTGTTCATATTGAAGTACGAGAAGTTTCCATGTCAAAAAATTACATTGGTAAGTTATTTTGCTAATTTGTTTTTAATGAATGATGTGAAAGACCTAATACTGAAAAAAAGATGTTTCAAGACGCGTCCATATACATACAAGCTTATTGAAGTATAGCTTGCATTGAGTATAATACATAATGATAACTATATCATTTGAATATTATTAATGATCATATAAATGCTACAACCAAAGTAGAAAACATTTCCATGGTTCTAAAATTCATTCCTTTTTGCAGTTAAATTCCTTTCACGCCTCTTTAGAGGTTAATTCTATTAGTCCTAACCTTGGTCTCAGACAAACATTGATCTAATTTTAATTTAATTTTTACTTTTCATATATGTGTGGTATACATGTATTTATATGCATGTTATAGTAATGTTAATATATTTGTTCAATTGTTGATGGATATTTGAGACGTATTGATAGTCTTTTACTATTACAAATAAAGCTTCTGTGTGTGTGTGCAGGTACATGTCATTATCTCAAAGATATAACTACACTCCATGTTCATTACAGAATTATCTAAAACAGCCTGAGATCTGAACCCAGTTCCTCTGCAAAAGTAGTACATGCTTTTAACACTTGAGCTACCTCCCTTTGTTTTATTTATTTATTTATCTATTTATAATTTAATTTGATTTTACATATCAGCTACGGATTCCTTTGTCCTCCCCCTCCCCCCCCCCAGCCTTCCCGGTCTCAGCACCTGGGTTGGGGATCAGACACCTTCTTCTTGGGTCTGGGGGTACTGCACTCCATTCAAAGACCCATACATAACACACATATATACATAATTAAAAATGGAAAAGGACAATATGGCTGCTTAAGCAAGACTTGAACAATGACATGCCAACACAGGTGGAAGAAATCACCAAGGCCTTACTCTTAGATTAAGAGCTACAAGCAATTAAAAGCTGCTAAGAGAGGGAGAATTCATCTTTCCCATAGATGGGTACACTAAATGATCATCTAATCCCAAGTGGTCAGCCCTAAAATATATACATAAAGCAACGCTAAACAGACTCAGCAAGTTGCATTTATATATTTATTTGTGTATACATATATATATATGTAACAATAATAATAATTAAATAATAAGAGTCTATGAATTTGAGAGGAAGTGGGGGACATGGGAGGGGTTGAAAGGAAGTGTGGGGGGAATTATGTAATTATATTTTAATTTTAAAAATTGGAAAAAAAGAAAGATAAAGCAAGGAAATCCTCCTGTGACATGAACAAACCCAAAAGACATTTTGCAAAATGACATAAACCAGACATAGACCTAGATAGCACATGACATCATTTATATGTACACTCTAAAAATCTCATTGAAAACGTGGCTGATTACAGTGGGTCTTGGAAGGAGAGTAACAGACGGAGAGATGGAGAATGTTGGTCAACAATATAAAGTCAGTTATATGATGAATAAATCCTAGAACTATAACATACTGTGTCTAATAAGAATGTACTGTTGTGTGACACTGTCCCTGGGAAGGTGTGAACAAACATCCACTCTACAGGTAGGAAACAGAAGACAGGCCAAAGACGGACACTACCAAAGCCCAACTTGGTGACCAGTTTCATCAGGGTTACTTATAGGAATAGGGGTGAGCCCATCCCAGCATGGATGGCAGTTCACAAAAGCTGGGAACCCAGAGCACACTGTACAGCCTACAGGCAGCTCAATAGCTTGGACAGTGTCCTTTTCCAGTGGCTCAGTTGGTCTTATTTCTTCTAGGAAGTCTGGTAGTCTCTGCTATTTTTAGGATGATTGGCTGGTCTCTGCCTCTTCCAGGCAGCTAGCCTGAGTCTTCTTTATGCCTTGGCTCATCTGAGAGCAACTCAGCAGGCTTACAGTTTATGTGGACTTGAGGAAGGAGGACTGCTCAGTTTCAGGGACTTTTGAAGCTACTGGGGTGTTTACTTCCTGATTTAAAGAGCTTCCCAGAGTATTTCTCTCCCTTTAGAACATCTTATTGCTTTACCTTCCTATAAACATCCTGTTGTGAGAAGTTTCCTTCTGGAAAGTTTCAATTTCAGGAAACTTCTACACAACAATTGTATGCTTGAAATTCCCTACGAGAACACACAGTCATCTCACCACACTCAAAAATACTAACTAGGCAGTGGTCATTTCACAGTGTATGTCAGGTCATCACATTGTAAACCTTAAATTCCTCAACTTTTCAGTTTTACACTAATATACCCAGGGGAAAAAAAAGAGAAATGTATGCTCGTATTCTAAAATGGATGCATGTCATTCCAAAGAATTCCAGTTCTTCATGTTCTTATCAATACTTGATGAGATAGTCTTTACCCATATGGAAATCATTTGTTTCGCTTTGTTTTGGGAGGTCTCACCCTGTAGTCCTAGCTGTTCATAACTCACTATGTAGACCAGACTGGCCTAGAACTCAGAGACCCACCTGCTTCTGCCTCCCAGGTGCTGAGATTAAAAGCATGAACCATCACACTAGGCTAGATACCTTCTTTCATGAAGTATCTAACAAGTATATTAGCTACTTTTACCCTTTGTTTTTATTTTGTTTTGTTTGGGGGTGGGGGCGTCAGGGTCTTGCTGTGTAGCCCAGGTTAATATGAACATTGCTGTGTAGCCTAAACTGGATTGAATTTGTGATCCTCTTACCTCAGGTAAAAATGTGCTTGAATTAGGTGTTCTGCATATACTCTGGATGGAAATCTTTCAGATATATGTTGTATGAATATTTTCTCCTAGTGTGTGTTTTGCTTATTCTTTTTAGGTAATATATTTTAATTTTTGTTGAGAGCTAATTTATTAAACTCTTACGATTTCCATTCATGTCCTATCTTAGAATTGTGTTTGGTAAGGTTGTAAACATTCTCTTCAATATTCTTCAAGAAGTGGTTGTAGTATATGCTGCTGTAGTCTGAACAAGAAGTGATAGCTTTAAGGGACTGTGGGTGTAGCTCAGAGTTAGAGTGGATGCTTACCATGCACAGGGCCCTCAGCTGAATCCCCATCACCAAAAAGCAAGAACAAAATAAAGAATAGTTTTCACTTTTGCATGAAACACATAGCCCATTTCAATTAGTTTGTATAGAAGGAGTAAAGGAAGGCTTGAGATGCCATCTTCCCCATATAGATACTGAACTTCTATAGCACCATGTGTTGGAAAGCATGCCATCTCCTCTGTTGGATTATGGTGATGCCTTTGTTACATGTCAACTGAACACACAGGTCTGTTGTTGGCTGTTTCTCTTCCTGACTTTTGATCTGTGTGTCTATCCTTAAACCAAAGGCATGATAGAGGATAGAGGAGACTTTCCCTCAGGACTGAAAGCCACAGGCATTAAATCTCAAATATGTGCCACTTTTTCAAAATTATTTTGTTTTTCTACCTCAGTTGTATAGAGTTAATATCTTAAATATATTTTATCAGTACCTATGAGATACACCTCTATGTTTGTTTTAGTCTTCTTTAGATTACTTTCTTTGATATTTTAGTGCATAGGTTTTGTACATGTTTTATGACATTTATTACTATTCTCTTCTGAGAGATCAGAGGTAGAATCAAATCTAGGGCCTTGTACATGCTGGGCAAGTGCTCTACCCGTGACCTACATCCCACCTCTTGATTTTCTTCTTTGCAATGATGTTACAAATGATATTCATATTTTCAATTTTATTTTCCAATTTAAATTATTATCATTATGTAACTCAATTTTTAAGATAAATTCTTACTATTTTTAGTTATGTATATGTGTGTGTGTATCTGTGTGTAGGTATGTGCATGTGAGTAGCTTCAGTTCCTCTGAAGCTAGAGTTACAGACAGTTGTGAGCCAGCATACACAGATGATAGGAAGTGAGCTTAGGTTCTCTGTAAGAGTGGCATTAGCCCTTAACTGTATCTTTCCAGCCCCCAACTAGGTTTTTTTTTTTTTATACATCCCTTCTGTTTTGAGACCTAATTACAATTATTTGCTGCTTTTAGTAGAGCTTTTATGTTCTGGGTTTTTTATGGTTTTGTTGTTGTTGTTTTTTACATAGATCACCATGTCAACCTTGAACAAAGACAGTTTCCCTTTTTATTTACAATCTTTATTACTATTAGTCTTTTCCATGTGGTACAAAGCTACATAGAAATGAGGATGCCCAATATCCCTTTATTAATCCAATCTTAAGAGAAAATGTTCAGTTTTTAACCAGTAAATATAATGTTAGCTAGGAGTTTATGTAGATGGCGCTTTATCAAGTTAAGGGTACTTTGTTCTGAGGATTTTAGTCATCTATGGGTATTGAAGTTCTCTGAATCTATTGATATGATTGTATGGGGTTTATCTACTATTAATGTAATAAAGACATTGGTTGATTTGGGATTTTAAATCTATCTAGTATTCTTGGAATAAAAATATCACTTTATCATAATGTATCATCCTAATTATATCAATGGAACTGATTTTTTAATATTTTTGAGGATATTTAAACCCATGTTCATAAGGAATATTAGTCTCTTATCTTTTCTTGTCATACCTTTATTGATATAAAGCTGACTCTATAAAATGAGTTGAGAAACACTTCTTTCCTGTCTGTTTTCCTCAGTGAACGTAGGGGAAATGGATATTATGTTTAATGTTGGATAGGCTTCAACTGTAAAACTCGTTGGGCTTCAGTTTTCTTTATGGGAAGTTTTTATTGAGAAAATGTGTTTCTGTAATTATAAAGTTTTCCAACTTATTGACATAATATTATATATAATATTGCTTTATTATTCTTTAGATGTCTGTAAACAAATAGGCATCATTCTTTTCATTCTCTAGACTACTAACTTGTATCTTTTATTTCTTTTTCTTGATCACTCTAGTGAAGGGTTTATTCATTTTATTGATCTTTTCAAAGATCAAGATTATGGCTTAAATGTTTTTGTCTATTTTCCATGACCACCATTCTTACTCTTCTGTTTATTAATGCCATTTTTAGTTACTTTGTTTTAATTTGTTATTTTCTGTAGCTCCTCAATATAAA